AGCAATACTCCTCTGTTTCTACATCACTGAATATGAATCACCTTTTTAAATGCTACTGGATTTACCTCAGAGGATCACCATTTTTTTTCTATTCCTATATGAGCTGTTCTCTCTCATCTCCTCCTTTAGAACATATGAATTCTTGACCTTTTTTCCTCTGCAGTCCATTTATATACAGTGTAATGCTGACTATTCTGTCTTTTCATTTACTTTATTTATGGATTAGTTTGTTAGCACTTATATTACACCTTTTAAGACTTTTACAATGCATATCTCATATTTTTTAATATGAATAGCTAACACAATAAATGAAAATACTCAACTACCCATTTAATGTTTATTTCTGTGTCACTCCTTCCTAAGTGATAACTCCAATCTGGAAAGCAACAGGATGGCACCAAAAACCCTAAGGTAGAGCTCAGTAAATATGTTTTGTTCTCAGAGAGAAGCTTCCCAAACAGAAAGTATCTACACAGATAGGAAGCTAATAGTGAGTAATGAATGGTATGCTGTATGGCTTTCTGACTCTATCACTTGTTTAGAAAATAAATACTAAATCATGTAATCTAAGAGTAGATCTGCTTTTGTCAATTGATCTTTCCAATTGTTAACTATTTAGAAAAGGTTCTAAGTCTGTGAAGTAAATTCTTGTGTTTTTAAATTGACTTTTTCTTAATAGCAGCCATTTTCTGTTGATGTATTAGGAATATTTTCTATTAATCACCCAATTAAAATTCCTATTACATTATTATTACGTACCTTTGCATATTAACAAAGGTTCACTTCCTAAAATTTCTTATAATAAGTATCCTCCTATTCAGTATTTGATGTAAAAATATTGAATGTTTGGAGAATATCAGGAATAAGCTACTTTAATACTAAACAGTGGGAACTTATTCATTAAATGGTCAAGAAGAATATACTACCAGTAACTGCTACTTCATTTTAAATGAAAAGCACTAGCATAGATCCTATAAACAATTGTTTGTTCTCATTGCTATGAGCACAAAGGTATAGACAATGGTATATAGAGATAATAACAATGTGAATTATTTTAATATAGAAAATTATTATTACAACTATTATGGTATTTATGATTTGGAAACTTTCTAAAACTAAGAACATTATTAGAACTATACTTTATCAACAAAAGTAAATAAGCTACCTTCAATTAAGTTTGATGGGAACTAAGAAGAGAGTACAAAGTACTCTTAAGAAATGCCGGGCGCTGGTGGCTCATGCCTGGAATTCTAGCTACTCAGGAGGCTGAGATCTGAGGATTGTAGTTCAAAGTCAGCCCTGGCAAGAAAGTCCTTGCCCGTGAGACTCCTATCTCCAATAAACCACTAGAAAACCGGAAGTGGCCCTGTGGCTTAAGCGGTAGAGGGCTCGCCTTGAGCTAAAGAGTGCAAGGATAGCACCCAAGCCCAGAGTTCAAGCCCATGACTGACCCCCCCCCCCCCAAAAAAAAAAAGAAAGAAAGAAATTAAGAAATAAATAAATAAATATAGGGGACTGGGTGCCAGTGACTCACACCTCTAATCCTAGCTGCTCAGGAGGCTGAGATCTGAGGATCATGGTTCAAAGGCAGCCTGGGCAGGAAAGTCTGTGAGACTCTTATCTCCAATTAACCACCAGAAAACCAGAAGTGGTGCTCAAGTGGTAGAGTGCTCACCATGGAGGTGAAGAGCTCACATCCAGAGTTCAAATCCCATGAGACAAAAAATATAAACAAACAAACAAAAACCAAATAAATAAATGGGGCTGGGAATGTGGCTTAGTGGTAGAATGCTTGCCTAGCATGAATGGAGCCCTGGGTTTGATTCCTCAGTTTCATATAAACAGAAAAGGCCAGAAGTGCTGACGCTGTGGTTCAAGTAATAGAGTGCTAGCCTTGAGGAAAAGAAGATCAAGGATAGTGCCCAGGCCCTGAGTGGAAGCCTGAGGACTGGCAAAAAAAGAAATATAGGTATTCTATTCATGTTTGACTCTGTTTGAGCTCCTCCTCTAAATACAGAACCGAAAAAGCAGCCACTAATGATGGAGCTAGAAATTTATCAAGACACCTAACATATGTGTGAGGATCATGTATAGAAAGTTTGAGTCTGAATTCTAGAGTTAAACATAGATGGTTCTGAGTTATGTTTCTCCTCTGTATTAGCATAGATAATTAAGAATTAACTGTAGGAATTTTAATTTAAATAATTTAAATTGCTTGTATAGATATTAAGACATTCAGGCAAACTATGCAATAACAAGTATACAATTATGCTAGATGTCCTTTCTAGTCTAGTCTTCCAGTAGGGAAATGCTTTCATATTATCTAATAGTTTTGAGAACATCTTTTGAGTTTCTTCTCCTTTTCCTTTTTTTTTTTTTTATTGGTACAAAGTCTTGAATGCTAGGCCTTGCTTATTAATTTTTTTTTGGTCAAGGCTGGTGCAATACTACTTAAGTCACATCTTTACTATCAGCTTTTTGCTGGTTAACTGGATATAAAGAATCTTGAGGAAGACAAGAATCTAGGAAGACAAACCTTAATTCTCAGATCTCAGCCTCCTGAGTAGCTAGGATTATAGGTGTGTGAGCTACTGGTGCCTAGCTGAGGTTTTTTTTTTTTTTCCTTCTAAAGAACAAAAGATTGTTATTGTTTTTAAAAAAGTAAAAAATAAAACAACTGTCCTCCCTAATGACCTACATACTAAACAGAGACTAAACTACAAGTTCCAATATAAACAATGGCTTTCCTATGTTTTTTGTGCATTACGAAAAACAGCAAAACAAGACTGTAGGCTGAGATCTGAGGACTGTAATTCAAAGCCAGCCCAGGTAGCAAAGTCTGTGAGACTTTTATCTTCAATTGACCACCAGAACACCAGAGTAGTGCTGTGGCTCAAAGTGCTAGAGCACTAGTCTTGCACAAAAAAGTTCAGGGACAGTGCCCCAGCCCTGAGTTCAAGCCCCAGTACTGGCAAAAAAACCCAAACAAAAACAACAAAACAAGATTGTAGTGTTGAGGGATACCTGATACATCAGGTCAACTGTCATACTGAATAAGCCAAAAGTTGGAGTTGATGAATAAACATTTTGATGTTGTATTATTTCAATAATTCCAAGGATTTATAAATAAGGTAGCTTTTGAGTGAGAAAATCATATAGGGAAGCAAAGTATTTAAGTAGAAAAAACCCCAGAAAACTTAGATTAAATTCTTTTTTTTTTTTTTAACTTTTACTGAGAAAGCTTCTGCTTAATTTTTCCCATTTGAACAAAATTAACTGATAGGTAAGTTAAATTTACACGGTAATACCAGTATGATGACCATTCACTCTCCTAGGCATCTCTAAACAAACAGATGTGGAAATTAAAGCCCATAAGAAGAAATATTAGCTTGTCCCAATGATGATAGGGCTGGGCCTTACCACCCTGGTACTTTTTGCATATATACTTTTGGCTGTTCCTTAATTGAAAAAAAAAGTTTTTAAGGTCTATAGGGTAAAGATATTTTTAACAGCACAAGTACACCACAAAATCATTTGATGCAATGATTCCCTTTAGCCCGTAGAGTTGACTATGCAAAAATCATGTGGTTAAGTGATAAATCTTCATTTTAATTAAAAAATACTGGCACTAATAAGAATATAAAGAAAGCAAACATGATAATCATATTTGCAACTTGGATCTCATGCTTCTGATGCTTAGTGGTAAAGAAAGTTCTGGTCTGAAAAGAGAAGCTGTACTTAGTTCATGATAGTTGTCTAGCAACTCCCCATGAAGGCTTTCTTAGGGAACTTCTTTGCAAAGGAAGTTTATGTTGTATTTAAAACTTACTTTCAATTGGAAAAAAAAAAAAGGTGAGTCTAACTCCACTAATTTATAAAAAGTTCTTCAATTTTCAATTTTTTAACTACTTTCAATTAAGTATTGAAATTAATTTAGAATATCTAAAGATCTACTGGATCTGGCAAGAATAAAATAAAACCTCAACTGATTCATGGAAGGCATCCTTGACAAATTTACTAAGTCAGCCGGGCACTGGTGGCTCAAGTTTGTAATCCTAGCTACTCAGGAGGCTGGGATCTGAGGATCAAGGTCCAAGGCCAGCCTAGACTTTCCCTCAGGCAAGAAAGTCCATGTGACCCTCATTTCTTTTTTCCTTTTTTTTTTGGGGTCCGGTCGTGGGGCCTGAACTCTGGGCCTGAGCACTGTCCCTCCGCTCTTCAGCTCAAGGGTAGTACTCTACCACTTGAGCTACAGCGCCACTTCTGGCTTTTTTCTTATGTGGTGCTGAGGAATTGAACCCAGGGCCTCGACATGCAAGGCAAGTGCTCTACCACTGAGCCACCTTCCCAGCCCGACCCTCATTTCTAATTAACCACAAAAATATGAAAGAGATGTGAGTCAAGTGGAACAGTACAATAAGCCTTGGGAAAAAAAAAAAAAAAAAAAGCTCAGATCCGGCGCTGGTGACTCACGCCTATAATCCTAGCTACTCAGGAGGCTGAGATCTGAGAATCACGGTTCAAAGCCAGGGCAAGGAAAGTCCGTGAGACTTTTATCTCCAATAAACCACCAGAAAACCAGAAGTGGCGCTGTGGCTCAAGTGGTAGAGCGCTCCCCTTGGGCTGAAGAGCTGAGGATTAGCGCCCAAGCCCAGACTTCAAGCCCCATAACCAACCAACCAAAAAAAAAAAGCTCAGAGATGGTGCCCAGGTCCTGATTTCAAGCCTCAGGACTGGCACAAAAAAACAAGGTAAAACAACAACAACAAAAAAATTAGCAAGCTATATGAAAATGTGGATGTACTCTGTATTTCAGGAAACATCAAACCAATGTAATATTCTATAAAATGAAGAAGGGCTTTAACCCCAAACCCATCAACCAAATACTAACCAGAAAAAAAAAATGGGAGGTACATTCATGTTTACAGATTATTTTCAAAGAAAAAAGGAAATTAAAATTTATGTACTTGTACAAGTTCTCCTCATGAAATGAGACCTACCTGTGTATATTATCTTGGCCAGAAGGCACTGGGCCGACGTTGGCTACATTCACAACCTTTTGAAGGATCATGGAGGGAGTGAAATTCTGTGGTGCAGTGATGACCACAGCAGAGGTTTCATTCATTCCTGTTAGCATTCCTGCAAAAGCAAAAGAAGGCTTGGATTTACTGATTTCTTCATGAAAATCAATTTTAAGCTCAGAGCCAAAGTTCTACTTGGTAAAAATGTCTTCTTCCTATTATTATTATTATTTTCCATTCATTCAAAGATGACTACATATTGCTTTTGAAGATGAAGCAAAGTGATTCTAATAACTAGTATCATTACATGACGCACAGCTTCAATGTGACAAACTCCAAGTTTTTAAGGGACGCTTCAGGTTGCCTAATGAAAGGATCTGCCTAATTGTATCTGCCTAATGAAAAGAACTAGAATTGTTGAAAAGGGCACAAAATGAAATTTCCAAAGCAACAAGTTTGAAAACAGGAAAAAAAGTAAATCGAAAAAAAACATCCTAGAGACATTTCAAGTAGTATTTTAAAAAAGAAACCAGGTGAAGAACAATTATAACCAGAACACTATAGTTGACAAAGCCACACCATTAACACCAGAATCTCATATGAAGTGTTTGGGAAACAAATTCAACAGCAAACAGAACATTTGGAAAATATATTGAAGTTCAGTGCCAAGGATTTAATTAAATAAAACAAAATAACCACAATAAATGTCATATTTGGAGCTGTCACATAAGTCATGGACACCTTTTTTGAGATGTCTAAAACATATAATTTACAAAATTTATGAAAGTTGTAAAACTTGATAGCATGTATCCAAAGGACCCTGAGCCTTTAGGCCTTATGTATTTAATTATTTATTGCAAATGTAATCTGAAATTGTAAAAACTCCCTCTGATTAAGGATATGAAGACACTAAAGCCTCTCATTATAAAAAGATGCCACCAAACAAAAAATAGAACTATCTAGTAATAAGGAGCCGTTTTAACTAACTACTTTCAAACTCCAGAAACACTATGTTCTGTCTTAGGCTGCTTAACTTCAATATTAGGCGAAAGCTTTAAAAACAACACTCACAGTCAAGCATGGCTTTTAAGTAAAGCACAGTGGCTGACATAACACTGCTGAGAGATGTGTGTACTCATTTAGGATTTAAACCTTCTCCATTAAGCTCTATTGAAGAGCAACTGCTGAATAAATGAATGCAACTATGTTTATGTTAAAAGCCTGTTTCCCGCAGCATGTAATTAAAGGAAATGTTGTACAAAGCCAGTACTTTTGTCAAGCTCCTGTAAATGGAAAGATGGATAGCACTCAGAGAAGTGAATGCATTGCTTCATATTTAACCTTAACACTCTTGTCATTAATGGTTTGTCTAACTTGTTCTATAAAAGACAAGGTACTGCTCCATTGAAGTAAAATTAAAAAAATCAACTAAACCATGCTTTTCAGAACAGAAGATTCATTATCGTCAGCTAATGTATTGGCATAAAGCAAAGTAACATCCTATCAAGTAAGGCACACATTCAATCTGCCTTCCCACCCCCCTTTATTTTTAACTCATGCTGTTTTATTGTTATAGGCAATTTGTACCACTCAGCATGACAGTGTAAACTGAATCAAGATTAATTTACATGCAAAAGAACACTTAGGAGAGCAGCATGGTAAGCAAATGTATTGTCTCGATTGCTGAGGTGGAAAAAGAACCTGGAAAGAAAAAAAGGTGCTCTAATTAAGGGGCATCAAATATGATTGCTTGTGGTAGTTAAGGGCCAGAAAATAGTAAATGTCTGACCACTTAAAGAATTAGCATCTTGCTCGCTAGGAACCCATAAGATGGATGCATAAATCACAATAAAATTAAGTAAACATTTTAGGTTTCTTAAAGCAGAGGTTTTGTTAAATGAAAATATATCAGGTATTCTCAAATTAAGTAGGAGGAAAAATATGCCAAGGTACCATTAAAAGTTTCTGTTATATAAACATACTTTTCAAACATTGTATATAGCTTGCTCACACATAATACAGATAAAGTTACTGGGAAAATATTTAAAAATCATCAGACTGAAGAACTGGTAGTTTTATTAGAATTTGTCTAATTTTTGGTGAAGGTGTAGTACTGCACTTAATTTAGGTCAATCAACTGTAATTAACTACTAAACTAGCCAAGTAAAGTAAGAAAACTAATTTGAAAAGATTTTTCTGTGTTTTGGATTTGCAGGAAGAAAGTAAACAAAAGGCGGTATCCTGGAACAAACCATCAGCTTAAGCCTTTGAAATTAAAATAGAAGAAACAAAATTAAAAATTTAAATAAAAAGAAATTCTATGCTCTTTACAGTATTTAAAGGTCCTCAGAGACAGCTCATAACCAATTCTGCAGCACTTAAAACTCTCAATAAATAAACTATGCTTCATTTTAAGGCTCATGATATGAATACCATAAATATTCAATGACAAAGGCAACCTGATTTAGCATGTTGACCTCCATTGTAAAAACAATCATGTTTAGCCACAGAACCCTTAAAAAAACAGAAAAAGTGATGATGCTGGTTATAACTAGAAATAAAACCTTTTATTTGTAAACACATTTGTCCAATATGTGAGAATCTGTTAGAACCATCTTTACTTAATATTTGCACTTTTCAGTTATGTATATATCTTGAGAATAAAAAAGAAACATTTTGTTTCTCTTATTTATAACTTTCAGTTTCTAACATATTTAATCATTTTGAAGTCTTAAAATATATCATGAAATGAGATCAATTATATAAACTCTTTTTTTTTACAGCAGAGAAACAGATTAAACACATTTCTAAACTCACATTTTACCTTCTAGAACAATGCATTGATAAAATGTGAGGAAATGATTTTTATTTTAATTTAGGATTTTGTTAGTAAGTCATTTTCATTTACCTTCTGTCTAACAAACAAATACATGTATAAAGTTGGGAACTGAGATCTCTATTGCCAAACCTGCTAAAATCTAGAACTAAAAAGATGCTATTGAGAAGATTCTTGAAACCTGTGGCAAATTTGCCGGCATCAAGTCCCACATCAAAGAATGAATTCAGGAAGACAGGAAGAATGATACAGAAATGCCAAGAGACTTGCAAGGATTTACAAATACTTCATATAAACAAATTTTCAAATAGCTTTATTCAGAGTAGCCTTTCTGCTCTATTAAACATAGCAAACAGCTGCCAGATTTATTCAGACAAATAATCAACAACCATAGAAGTAAAATGGCAGAAGAAAAAGGGATTTTGGCAACAAGTCCACAGAGGACCGCAGCTATTCTCCAAATGCACCTCTCTCATGCACTTACGGTTCTATATGGCTAGTCAGCGAAAAATCCCTCTGTTACAGCAGAGCAAAAAAAAATTTGATCGAAATAGCAACTATTCTAAACAACAGCTGAGAGAAAGGGAAAGGGCATACACTAATCTGCTGCCTTAAATAGACTTTACTTGTACTTCTCAAAGACAGAATACCCTCTTAGCAATAAATGTGCCAAAGCCTTACTCAGTCGCTTATATGCCACTCACCTTGGTTTGCTGAACAGATGCAAAGCAGAGAGGCAGGCTTTAGCCAGCAAAGGGTAAGAATAGCAAATATAAGAATCAATTCAATTTGTTATGGGAAAAATAAAATCACAAAGATAATTTTCTTCTATAGCAATAATCAACTTTTGAGAAAACAAATGTAAAGTTGGATTCAGTCACTTTTTTATCATTTAAAAATAAGGTCTGAGGAAAAAATAGATTCCTATAAATTTATAGTTGTGTTTGGGATTTCTGTGTGAGATTCTTCGGCAACAGGTCTTTTTGATTCTGTGGATCGAAAAGGCTTGGAGTAAGTCAATCATAAGCACTACAACAAAGGAGTGCCAGGGAGCATGCTCCTTTCCTCGGATATATGTAGTACTTTCTAGAAGCTTGATGAGTATGATCTAATGATCTCAAAACGAAGGGATCTTTGTTTGATAGCATCCTTTAGAAGGGGAAAAATAGCTCTGATTCACATATGGTTTTAAAAATTGCTGAATATTCAAAAATATATTCCTTAGTTTTAGAAATGTTATCCTTTAACACATAAAATCTTTGTTATTTTCCTATATTCACATACAGAAAAAAAGGCTTCATTTTTATCAGAAGATACATTGTAATTGCATTCTTCTGGTAATATTTTCCTTTTAAGGTGTACATTTAACTCAGCTCTGATTTATTAAAACTATTTATTTAATATAAAATTTGGTCAAAAGAGAGGTCTTTTAATGCTATAATTAGGACTTCATTTTGAAATGTAAGGTACTTTACTGTGTATAGAGGAAAATGTATTACAAAGAGTGGAAAAATAGGCCTATAATAAAAAACCTACAGAAACATAGGATTTACGGCAATACAGTCTTAAAGCGTTAAGTCTAAGTTCCTGGTGTTTTACACCGAACAGGGCCATCATCAGAATTGAAAAGCTAAGAATCAATGTGTTACTGTAAAGACATACTAATTAATTTTCAAATCTAACAGAAACATAAACAAGCATATACTTTCAAGGTTATTTTATAAGTACAAAGCAATAACAAAAATGGGAAGACTGTGCATTGACTAATATGTGTTTGAATCAACAGACCAATTAGCAGAACAAGCATATAGCATAGTTTTGGTAAGTAAATTTCTAGGAAATTGTAATAATTTCTCACCTTGTTCTTTCTTAAAATCTTTCTCTGAAATGGCAACAGGTAAAAGTAGTTCTCCAACAGATGGCTGAATATTAACATTGAAACAATCATCCTTGGTGCTAAGGAAAAAATAAAACCAAAGCTGATTAAATGCGAACTAAACATACCTTTAAAACTATGTAGTTGAATAGATGCAATGAAAACGTATACTAGAAACTTCTTAATTAAATATCACAGCTAAAAAGATTTGAAATTTTTCTCAGACAAAACTGTAGAGAAATACACCTGTTATCTCAATTTTTTACTAAATGACACATATAGGAAATGCTATCATGTGACACAGAAAATACACACATATATACAAACATAATATACTTATTACTCTTCTTGAACAACATTTCCAGCCTTCTTTGTTCTGGTTAATTTTGAGATAATTTTGCCTGGAGTCAACCTGGACCATAATCCTATTTATGTTTCCTACCATGATGTTTACTACTGTGTCCAGCTTTTGCCCATTTAGGTGGAGTTTCACAAACTTTTTTCCCCAGCCATTCCTCATCTAGTACTGCAACCCTTCTGATCTCAGCTTTTTACATAACTGGGATGAAACTGTGTCCAGGTGATCGTTGAAAAGGGGTCTTGTGAATTTTTTGTCTGGGCTGGCCTTGAACCAAGATCCTTCTGATCTCTGTTTTCCTGAGTAGCAACAATGACAGGGGTGAGCCCACTAATGTCTGGCATTTATTTTATACTACCTTATTGATTAATTTTGGTGCTTAATATTGAACCTAGAACTGTATCCTATAACTGAACAACTCTCCCAGACTGACAAGAGAATTTTAAAAAACATCAACAAGAGCCAGGCATGAGGGTAATAATGTAACCCAGCAGCTAGGAAACTGAGGAAGGAGGATCACAAATTTGAAGACAGACTCGGCTATTCAATGTGACCTTGTCTCAAAAAACAAAACTAGCAAAAATGAAAAAAAAAATATTAACAGCAGCGAGGGCATATAACCACAACCTATTTCTACTCTGTATGTATAAAATATAAAGGAAGCACTCTAGTCAAATATTTAAGAACTCTTTAAAAATCAAGATTATTTTAAGTTATCAATTATGAGTATGGTTGGCTGCAAATAAGCAGAAATCCAACCAAGTTTCTTGAGAACTGAGTGTCTACTGTTTAGAATACAATAAGTTTTGGAGTCACCAAAGCCCATTAAGTGACTGGAAGAAACCTTCAGGGATCCAGATTTCCCTCACCTACCACTCCATCCATAATATGCTGGTTCACTTCATGGCTGCCGCATGGCAGCAGCAACTCCTGGTGCCACTTTCACATTCCAGTTAAGAGAGAAAGTGATAAGGAAGGAGGCCCAATAAACAAGCCAACCAAACCTGTTCTTTGTCATCAGGAAACAAATAGCTTATGAACTTCCTTCAGAGGGATTTGTATTTTCAGGTTAGAAATGGATCCTGTGACAATTGCAAACATGACTACAAGAGATGAGGACTATGGATGGGTGAGATATACCAAACATCAGGATAAGATGCACAGAATTTATTCCAAAGTGAGGTAGGGACAAATAATATAACATGAAGAAAGAAGATAAAAACAACCTTTATGCTAGTAGACACCATTTTCTTAGAAGCTTAATTTTTTTTTCCTCTAAAGGTAGGGTCTGGTTAGATAGCCTAGGTTAGCCTCAAACTCACGTGGTAGGCAACATGGCACTTTGCGCACATAATCCTCTTGCCCTAGCCTCCTGAATGCTAGGATTACAGGTAATGCTAGATTACCTTACCCCACTTAGCAATGTCTTAGATTTCTTCCACATGTAAATTATCCAAAGCCAACTGATAAACCCAACTTATTTGTAAACTCAACTGTTTCTAAATACAAACTTGATCTTAAAACTGGGTGACTATTTGGGGATTTAGGGAAGAGTGACTCACTAGTCTACTGTGAGGTAAAGAAATGTCATATGTTGTATGGTAAGAATTACATTAGAGATACGTGGAAAGCAGATATATAACCCATGGGAGGGGCTGATTTGTTCTGCAGGAGAGAAATGAGGGTAAACTTTTGTGTGAGAAGAGAGATAGGCATTCTTGCCTGTTGGGAATAGTGAGTGGCCCAGTGTGTCTGCAGACAAGGAGGGTGGTACATTATGAAGAGCATCACCCACAGCACAACCATTCATCCCAGTTCTCTCAGGACAGCTCCAGTTTATGGCTCGTGTCCTGGAATCACATCCAGTTAAGTGCCTCTTTTCACTCTCTGAAGTGTGCTGTTGTTGAATTAACTGTATGGATCTTTTATTCACATAACGAACACAAAAGTGTCCATGTTCCTTCTTTCCTTTCTTTCATGGCAGTCCTGGGCTTGAACTTAGTGCTTAGGAGCTGTCACTGAGCTTTTCTGCTCAAGGCTATCTCTAGAGCCACAGTTACACTTCCAGCATTTTGGTTGTTAATTGGAGATAAAAATCTTACAAACAAGTTGAGCACCAGTGGCTCATACCTGTAATCCTAGCTACTCAGGAGGCTGAGATCTAAGGATCGCAGTTCACAGCCAGCCTGGGCAGGAAAGTCCGTGACATTCTTTTTTTTTTTTTTTTTGTCTGTGACATTCTTATATCCAATAAACCACTAGAAAACCAGAAGTGGTGCTGTGGCTCAAGCGGTAGAGCGCTCACCTTGAGCTGAAGAGCTGAGGGATAGTGCCCAAGCCCAGAGTTCAAGCCCCACGACCCACAAAATAAATAAATAAATAAAATCTTTCAAACATTCCTGTTTGGGATGGCTTTGAACTATAAACCTAAGATCTCAGCCTCTTAAGTAGCTAAGATTAAAGGCCTGAGACACCATTGCCTGGCTTCAATGTTTTCTTCTTCTTTCTTTCTTCGCCGCCTTCTTTTTTCTTCTTCTTCCTCCTCCTTCTTCCTCTTCTTTCTTTCTTTTTTCTTCTTTCCTCTTACTCCTCCTCCTTTTCCTTCTCCTCCTCCTCCTTTTATTTTTATGTTGGTCATGGGGCTTATACTCTGGATCTGGGTACTGTCCCTGAGCTCTTCAGCTCAAGGCTAGCACTCTACCACTTGGGCCACAGCACCACTTCCAGTTTTCTGGTGGTTAGCTGGAGAGAAGAGTCTCATGAACTTTCCTCTCTGGGCTAGCTTTGAACCGCATCCTTAGATACCAGCCTCCTGAGTAGCTAGGATTATAGGCGTGAGCCACAGCACCCAGCTTCTTCTTCTTTTAAAAATAAAGGGTTTTCTTTTTTTAAATTAGAGTTGTATCATTAGGGTCTTGTATATTAAGGAGTAACATCGGGGCATTTCTATACATGCTTAATGCACCCTACTGTCTTCCCTTCTATCATTTTTCCTTATAATCAATCGTCATTTCTTTTTTTAATATAATTTTATCACTATTAAGGTGTTGTACAGAAGGGTTACCATTTTGTAAATCTGGTAATGATTACATTTTTTTTTTTTTGGACAATGTCACCCCTTCAATTTCCCCCCCTTCTCCCCTCTAATCTCTGTCACAAGTTGCACAGTTCATTTCCACTCCACATAGAGTATACTGAGTACTATGATTACATTTGTTCATACTTCTTCCCTCTCTTTCTGTATCTACCTTTCGTCCCTCTAAAAGACAACAAAACAAAACCTAAAGCAAAAACCACCACTACTAGTACCACCACCACCACTACCACTACCACCACCACCACCACCAACCAAACCCCACATGTTTCCATTTCCTGGAATTTGTTTTGATAAACAGTATTTTATGTTTAAAAATTATACCTTTGCATTCCTCCCCTAAGGGTATCTTCATTCACTGGTCTGATTGTTTGTGTGTGTGAATGCCTAGAATCCTGTATAAGTTAATCATGTTCAGTTATATTATAGATCGAACTTCTACATGACAGAAAACATGTGCTGCTTGTCTCTCTTGAGCTTGGCTTACCTCAGATAACATGATTTTTGTTCTAGATACATCAATTTTCCTGAAAATGACATATTTTCCTTTCTAATGGATGAGTAAAATGCCATTGTATATATACATACTCATCTATTGTAGGGCATCAGGGCTCTTTCCATCCCTAGGCTATTGTAAATAGTACAGCAATGAACATGTATATGCAAATGTCTTCACTGTATCCTGACTTATAATGTTCTGGGTAGATGGCTAAGAATGGTATGGCTGAGAACATGAAGTTCTATGTTTAGTTTTTTGGGGAACCTCCAACCCACCTTCCAGAGTGATTGTACTAGTTTACATCCCTACCAACACAGCAACAGTGTTCCTTTTCCCTGGGATCCTTCCATTGTATCCCTGCCAGCATTTGTTATTCAAACTCTTGATGTTGGCCAATGTAACTCGTAAGAGATGGAATCTCAAAATTAGATTTGCATTTCTCTTATGGTCAGGGATATTGAGCATTTCCTCATGTGTTTACTTGTCATCCTTAACTACTTCTTCTGGGAAGTCTCTTTTTAATTTCTTTGTCCATTTATTGATAGGTTTATTGGTTTTTTTTGGAGGGGGAGGAGTTAATTTCTTGAGTTCTTTGTAATATTTTGGATATGAAGCCTTTGTCAGTAAATCCCTATTTCTTAAAACAATTTCAACATGTTTCAATACCCTCATTTTCATACATTCATTTTTTGACTAAGTTCTCCCTCAATATCTCTTTTTTTTTTTTTTTGGGGGGTCCGGTTGTGGGGCCTGAACTCTGGGTCTGGGCGCTCTCCCTTAGCTCTTCAGCTCAAGGCTAGCGCTCTACCACTTGAGCCACAGCGCTACTTCCGGCTTTTTCTTTTTTGCTTATGTGATGCTGAGGAATCAAACCCAGGGCCTCAGGCATGCAAGGCAAGCACTCTACCACTGAGCCACCTTCCCAGCCCCATCCCCCAATATCTCTTAAAGCAATGGGAAACCATCAGACTTTAGGCACTGGAAAGTAAGTGACCCCATTTGTAGTTTAGAAAGTCCTGTGGCAATCTGTAAGGTGCAGTGGGAGAGAAACCAAAGGAGGAAGGTCTAATTAGGAGTCTAATCTGGTTAAGGCAGGCATTTTTGTTTTGTTTTGCATTTACTGTGTGTT